AAAAAAAAAAAAGTCTCAAATCAAACATCTAACTTTACAACCTAAGGAACTAGTAAGAAAAGAACAAACTAAACCCAAAGCTAGCAGATGGAAGGAGATAATAAAGATTAACGCAGAGGTAGAGAATAGAAAAACAAAGAGAAAATCAACAAAATGAAGAAAAGGAGAAAGGAAACTTGGGCATAGGAGGGTAGCTAGGAGTTTGGAGGGGTAGGAAGAATGACATTGTGGGAAAGAGCTTCTACTCTGGGGGTAGTTTGGTATTCCAGCTCGTCTGGATTATGACTGTTACCACCTGGATGACTTTATCCATTCCCCTTTTTTCAGGACCTCACTGTTCTTATGTGTAAAACTAGAGCTATGGAGATGGTTTGTCCTGCAAAGCTTCTTGTGCTGAAGACTTTCTCTCCACAGTAATGGTACTGAGAGGCGGTAGACCTTTAAAAGGTAGGACATAGTGGAAGGTGATTAATGGTAGTGTGGTGGAGTGGGTTGGCTCTCACAGGAATGAATTATCTAGTTCTCGAGGGGGTGGATTGTTAGAAAGTCAGACCATGGGGCCAGGGATTTAGCTCAGTGGTTTCGCCACCTGCTGCGCAAGCGCAAGGACCCGAGTTTGATCCCTGGTACCCAAAACAAAGAAAGTCAGGCCATGCCATGTGTTCATCATACAACCGTTTCCCCTTCAGCCTCTTTGCCATGTTGGGCCCCTGCCACTTCCATGCTGCTTGAAATTTTCAGCCACTCACATTTTGCAGCAAATAAGTTTCTTTTCTTTATAAAGTAACCAACCTTGGGTATTTTTTGAATAACACAAAATGGACAAAGATAAGTGGGAAAATCAAACTTCAACTGTACATCAGAGATGGCAGAGCACATAGTAAATGAGATGATATAATGCAGACTACTGCAGCATGCAGGATTACCAGACAGTGTCAAGGGGAAAACTTACCCAGCACCGGGAACAGTGTGTGCCAGGATGGAGACACAGATAAGGACTCAGTCAGCTGCAGGATCTGTGTGAACACCAGGGTGGCTGGAAGGGGGAGGACTGAGTGGAGGCCAGGGCCAGATTAGATCACTACAACAGGCAGTTGAGATTTATCTCAATTCTATCAAGAAAATAAGAGGTTTTTAACCAAACAGTGACAGAATGTGATGAAATTTCACTCTGGACACTTGCAGAGAACACCAGGATTGATGTGGGGACACAGGAAGGGTGCACTGCACGGTCCAGGAGTGTGTTGATGGTGACATGGCTCAGGCTGGTATTGCTGGAGGTGGTGAGAAGGCGACATCCAGGGACATGTGAGGAGGTGGAGCCAGCAGGACATGAGGATGGCTGAGGAGATGCCAGGTGAGGCCCAGGCAATATTGGGCCCTTTCTCAGACCTCCATGAGGAGGTCGCTTTGCCCATGGGATGGCAGGGGCCCCTTTTCCTGCCAGTCTTCATCAGCATCCAGCAAAATGCAGAGATGGCACGAAGCCACATGGCCCTGTTTCTGTGAGGTGATGTCTGCCAGCTTGGTTTAGCCGTTCCACAGGGTGTGCATATTTCTTTTGGGGGGGGTACCAGGTATCAAGCTCGGGTCCTTGTGCTTGCGCAGCAGACAGTGAAACCACTGAGCTAAATCCCCAGCCCAAGAGAATTTTTTTTTTTTTGGTACTGGGCATTGAACTCGGGACCTTGTGCTTACAAGGCAGGCACCAGAACCACTAAGCTAAATCCCCAGCCCATGGGTATGCATATTTCAAACCACACATGGGGCTGGGGACTTAGCTCAGTGGTTCCGCTGCCTGCCTCGAAAGTGCAAGGTCCAGAGTTCGATCCCCACTACCAAAAAAAAAAAACCAAAAAAAAAAAACCAAAAAAAAAAACCACACATCGTACATGATGCATAAATATAATTTCATTCTTCAATATATTTAAAATAAAAAACAGGAGTATTTCCATTTCGAATGCTCCCTATTTGTCCAGAGTAGAGCTCTCTCTCCCCTTTCCCCACCTTCAAATAAATTGTCTGCTTTCATTTTTAAAAAAATAGAATAAAATAAAAAATAACTGCAGGTTACATACAAAAAGAAGAAGAAAGAAAAGAAGAAAAAAAGGCACCAAATGGTATAGCTGCGTGCTTTCCTTAAGAGCCTACTTGCTGCACCTCACAAGCACAGCCTGTCCCCGGCCCCTGGGTTTCACACTCTGACGAATGTCCCAGATGACCCTGCAGGGAGGCAGCTTCCCCTGCCCTCCCACAGCAGTGGGATGATGATGACAGCAACAGCTTGCACAAGGTGAGCAGGGACTTCGTGCCTGCTAGGTGCCCTTTACCCCACTAGGTGCGCAGTGAGGATTCCCATTGTATTGACTGAGTCCCCGTTCTCCCGCTGGAGCAGCTCTGGAGTCCCCCAAGGGCTTGTGAGAGCCCGGAAGGCCGAGTCCCAACTTTTTCCTCCCAAAACCTCCGAGTCCCTAAGTTTGGGCTGCTGCCTCCAACTTTCATTTTTAAACAAATTCCCAGCAATGCTGGTGTTACTGGTTTGAGAAGTACAGAATGAGAACACATATGGCTAGCACGCAGAGCCGGGGATTTAGCTCAGTGATTCTGCCGCCTGCCTCGCAGGAACAAGGACCGAGTTCGATCTCCGGGCCTTGCTCGTCGGCTGCTACACCGCAGCCTGGGAAGGGCCCCTTTAAGAGTCTAGCGCTAGGGCTGCGGGGCGGAGGCGCAGCCAAGCAAGCCCCGCCCTGTCCCTATAGTTCCTTTCCACCGACCCCCCCCTCCCCGCACCCCCTGCGAGCAGAACGCAAACGCGGGGTCCCGGGCAGTGGCGGTGCGCTGGGGGCAGAGTTTCGCAGGTCAGGGGCGGAGGTTCCCGGCGACCCGGCTGTGTCCCCGCGGGCAGTGGCGGAGCGCGGGGGGCGGAGCTTCTCAGGGCAGGGGGCGGAGGTTCCCGGACCGGCTGTGTCCTAGCGGGTGGGGACCAGGGTTGTGGCTGGCTGGGACCGCCCGGCGGAGGCAGTGCGGCTCGGACCCTGCGCTGTGCCTTTGCAGCAGCCTCGAGCCCTGGAATTGGGGTGTCTCAGGTGTCCAGGGGTATGCATTTGACTGAGGGGCTGAAGCCCGGAACGCGACCCTCAGCCGAGGACAAGGCAGGGTGCGTGTTGGGCTGAGCCCGCGGGAGCCACCTCAGTCACCAGCAGAGAAGGCCCCGCTGGGTCCAGAAGGCCTGATGGCTGTGTCAGTGCAGCAGGACCTGGTGCAGGTGAGTGGGTGGCTTCAGCCCTCTGCTGTGGCACCACCCTGTTGGTCCTGGTGCCAACATAGAACGGATGGCGCTGTTCTTACCTCTCTCACCTCTGCCATCTCCCTGCTTTGACTCAGGAGTCCTTGGCAGGAGTTACTCCTGGCTTGGATCCTGATCGCAGGCCAGACATTCTGCAGAGAAGTTTCCATATCTGAGCTCTGAAGGGTGAGGGGAGAAAGGATTTCTTGAGCACAGGAACTTGCACAGAGATGCTTGAGGTGGGGCGGAGTTGGGAGTGTTCAAGAAACTCGAGTGACTGTTGTCTGTCAGGACCTAGAATGACAGGCTGAGGAGCTGGGCTGCTATTCTGAGGTCACTGGGTGCCGTGGACGGTTTAAAGCAGAGGAAGGTGATAGGACTCGAGTCTTGTTAGTGTCTCTGTGGATGCAGAGTGGAACAAAAGTGTGTGGGGTGAGGGCGAAGGCAGGGAGGCCAAGGAGCACCCACTGCTTGGGTCAGGATCAGTGATCCTGGTGGCCAGGTCAGGTGGAACTGCAGGTGTGGTCTGTCTCAGAGACATCAGGCTGACCGGGTTGTCTGATGTGGAGAGTGAGGAAGAGGAGGCACACTCCATGGTGTTTTGCTTCCTTAGGAAGAAGTATCAACAAGTCATCAGCAGAGAGAAAGGGAAGTGGCTGCAGCAGGAATTTTCAGTGGAAATAGCAGAAGTTAGGTTTGGGACATGTTGAGTCTCCAGAGACCCTGAGTAGATTTGAAGAGTGGTTAAACACAGTTACCCTGTTCTAGGAAGGTGTTAATTGAGGTCATAAGAGACAATCTACAACTCAGACAATGGCCAGACAATATGTAAAAATAGAGCTCTGGCCTATGACCTGCCCAGGAAACCACCCTCTCTTTTATAATCAGCCCCACAGGAAGCCTGCTTATTGTGAGTTAGACTGGCAGGAAACAAGATTGCTATCTCTAGTGACAAGCTGGGAAGTTAGACCAAAACTCCTTTCACAGTGGACCTCTTTTTTTGAATGGGCTTGATTAATAACAGACAGTTTCTGAAATTTTTGTTCTTATGTCTAATTTAGGACCAACTGCAGAAAGCTAAAGATGTTTACATGACCAGTCTCATATGAGGCCCTGCCTGTAGTTCAAGGCCCCAACAGACAGCTTTCCAAGGTACCATCTCCTAGTCAGGGCACACCTTCTCTGTGTTATAACGCTTTGCCCTTACTGTGGCTGCCTTTAAGTCTCTGAGAAGCCATCAGTGATAGTGGCCCATTCCTTGGCTACAGTAAGCAATGGATAAATAGCCTTAGCTTTTCTTTGTTGGTTGGTCTTTATTTCCACAAAACATCCAAATTGTGGCATCAGTGTGTGGGCAAGAGTGTATGTCAGATTTTAGAGGGTCAATGTTCAGGCCATGGTGGCAGCATACTGTGAAAAAAGAACGTGGGCCCGGAGGACTCAGACCATAGGATCTTGCTTGGGTACTATGTTTGGCTTGTTTAGCATCATAAAAACGAATGAGAAAGAGTGTCATGGGATAGGGGGTGTCAGGGTATAAAGGAAGGTGGCAGGTGGCCAGATGTAACTAGGAAATGGATGCTGAGGCTTGGGAGTCATGGAGGTAATGCTACCATGTGGCTTAGAGTGGTGCATTCTCCAATTTATGTTCTCCTGAGGCTTTTGTGGTGTCTCATGATGGAGCCTGGGGATTTTTAGTCAGACTAGGCAATTAGCTAGGGACAAATGAGCTTGCTCAGACTTTCTGGGAAACAGAGAGGAGTGGGAAGAGAAAGAAAAGAGGGGCCAGGATCTCAATATTCCTCTCAGGAGCAAGCCCACCATGACCTAACTTCCCTCAGTTAGCCACGTGTCCTAAAGGTTGTGTCACCTCCAGTACATCCAGGCCTCCAACACGTGAGCCTTTGGAGAACATTCAAAACCCAAACTGTCACACTGGAGTAGGAGGACCAGAGGGGTTGGCTTTTGCATAAGCGTGAATGATGAAGGGAGAGCGTGCAACACAGGAGTGCCAGGATATCTGGCATCTGTGTGTGCTTGATGTGGTTTAAAGCCAGGAAGAAGGCCAAGTGGAGAAGCCTGCAAAGCAAAGAAGAGTGTTATCCTTGCAGTGGGCACCATCAAAGGCCAAGGGCAGAATGGTATCAGGCTTGTATTGGCCAGACTGTCTCCAAGTTCAGTGAACAAAGTGACACCCAGGAGTCCACAAACCTGGCTGAGAGGTAGACAAGGTTGGGGAGAAGGTAGCTGTGACCATGGCTGTGCAGGGCAAGGTCTGGAACTGTGAGGAAGGTGCAGGACAAAGAATGAGGTGCAAATAGGAATGGGCCTGGACAGGAAACTGAGGATGAAAACCAAGCCCTCATTGGATTGTATCTAAGAAGCATGACATTGCAAATTTAGGAGAAGGGGCCAGAAGAGAGGGGATTGGGCCCTACACTTCAGCCCCAGAGCTTAGATGGCGACCCTCTGCCCTCCTGCCTGTCTCACTGTAGGCTGAAAAGTGAACGTGTGTGACATGAGAAAAAAGCCAGTACTAATGTTACCAGGACTGGTGTTTCCTTGGAGCTGGGAAGAAGGGTGACAGAGGGCAAGTAGGGAATGGAGAGGGAGGCCTGAGGAGAGAGGCTGATCACGGAATGAACTGTCCCCATCAGCATGGCTGTGTGACCTTTGAAGACGTGACCATTTACTTCTCCCAGGAGGAGTGGGGCCTGCTCAGCGAGGCACAGAGACTCCTGTACTGCGATGTGATGCTGGAGAACTTTGCACTCATAGCCTCTCTGGGTAAGGCCCTCACACTTGTCCAAGCATCCTGAGCTCTTCTCTGCCTGTCCCCTTTGTACTAGAGAGCTCTTCCCTTCCAATGCCAACCCCGCCAATGCTGCTTCCTCCCCTCCCTTCATAATGTGCATGTTGTGAGTTCCACTGGATTCCAAGGTAGCCCTGCAAGCGGTGCCTCCACCTCTCCCTGAGCAACCCCACACCTGTTTGTCAAAGCTTTGCAGGAAAGGACCAAGCAGAAGGAGCCTTTTAAGGTCAGCCCCATAGAGCTCATCCTATCTGTCACTCCTCACCTGGGTGACTGTCCAGGTCTCTGACATCTCTGTGGTTTAGTTTCTGCTCCTTCCTTTGCTAACATGTCCTATGCAAGACTGCAGAATTCGAGACTGATTTGGTCACTGCCTGCCAATCACTGGGATATGCTTGTCAGACCTTGCTTGTATGTACAGTGTGTAATACTGAGTTTTCTTTCCTGTGGTCTGTTCTGGGTTACTTTCCCTGGGCATGTGCTGGCAGATGACCTGCCCATCTTTCCCTCAGGGCTCACCTCTTTCAGGTGCCATGTCATTGCCCAACTCGAGGTGGGGAAAGAACCCTGGGTGCCTGACAGAGTGGCTATGACTTCAGCCATGACAAGAGGGGCTTTTGGCAGGCCTGGCTCTGGTAAGTGGGAGCTGGGGGCGGATGTGACATCATCACTGTGTCCAAATCATACCGGCTTCTTTTCTCCTATTTATCATTATTTGTTTGAATGCTAATGTCCACTCTTCATCTTTACCTTTCCTTCCCCATTCTTGAGACCTTGCCCATTTGAATCTCTGCTCTGACTGTGGGCTTCTGGCTGGCCCCACCTTTCCGGCCTCCGTGTCTCAGTCTTTGCACAGTGACCTCTGCATTATTCTGCACTGTTGGACTCTACATCATATATCCTGAGAAGAGCATGTTTCCTTGATGTCCTTAAACATCATCCAATTAGTTGTAGTCAGATTCTCCCGGGCTTGGCCATTCCTACCTGCCTCGTGGCCCTTATAGTTTCCCAGAAGCCAATGCTCTCCTAGGCTTCTTTGTAGAGAAGTGAGTTGGGGATCTTGACCCTCTTCCCAAGATTGTACCCCATCCTGTGGTACAGACCTCTCTTGTTTTGTGGCCTGGCCAGGCATGGTAGTGTAGAAAGCCAACCATTCCTGGCTCTCACCTGAGGTCTCTCATCCTGCCAAGGTTATTAAGGACTTATTCTGGAGTCAGAGAGGCACATGTAATGGGGCTATTTCCTTCTATCAAAGTTTATATGACTTGATCAGAATTTCTCTGCTTGTAGATTTTTGCTGTGGAACAGAGCTCAAGGAGCTACCTTCTGAGCAAAATGTTTCTGTACAAGGAATATCCCAGGATGGGAATCCCAAGACATCTCTGTCCACACAGAAGACCTACCCCCATGACACATGTGGCCCACACTTGAAAGACATTTTATGCCTGGCTGAACATCAAGCAACACGTGCCAGGCAGAAGCCCTACATGTGTGAGGCAAGTAGGACAGGGTTCAAGTTCAACAGAAACCTTCCCCAGCAGCAGGTGCAGAAGAATGCAGACAAGCCTGCCAGAAAGGAGGAGGGCAGGGCCTCTCCTGGAAAGACCTGCTCAGACCACTCATCACAGAAGCCTTCCATGTGTGGGGAGGGCAGGGAGGACTTTGTGGCCACATCAGGCTTTGTGCAGAGTCAGGTCACTCCCAGTGTGGAGGAGGCACACAAGAATTCTGAAGGTGCATTAGATTTTCCCTCTGCCCAAAGGCATAACAAGAGCAGTCCATCTAGAGATGCTTTCAGTGCCACATCCACACTTGTTCATCAACAGAGAGTCCACATTGGAGAGAGGCCCTATGAATGTAGCAAGTGTGGGATATTCTTTAGCAATGCCTCTGGCCTCATGCAACACCAGAGAGTTCACAATCGAGGAAAACCGTATGAGTGCTGTGAGTGCGGGAAATTCTTTAGCCAACACTCTAGTCTCGTGAAACATCAGAGAGTTCACACTGGTGAAAGCCCCCACATGTGCGGTTACTGTGGAAAATTCTTTAGCCGAAGCTCCAACCTTATCCAACATATGAGGGTCCACACTGGTGAAAAGCCCTACGAGTGCAGCGAATGTGGGAAATTCTTTAGCCAGCGTTCCAACCTCATTCATCATAGAAGAGTTCACACTGGTAGAAGTGCTCATGAATGCAGGGAATGTGGGAAATCTTTTAACTGCAACTCCAGTCTGATTAAGCATGGCAGAGTTCACACTGGAGAAAAACCTTATAAGTGCAATGAATGTGGGAAATTCTTTAGCCAGATTGCCAGTCTCATTCAACACTATATAGTTCACACTGGTGAACGGCCTTTTGGGTGCGGTGAATGTGGGAAAGCCTTCAGCCGAAGCTCTGACCTAATGAAACATCAGAGAGTTCACACTGGTGAGCGGCCTTATGAGTGCATTGAATGTGGGAGGCTGTTTAGCCAAAATTCCAGCCTCAATAGTCATAGGAGACTTCACACAGGTGAACGGCCTTATCAGTGCAGTGAATGTGGCAAATTCTTTAATCAAAGCTCCAGCCTCAGCAACCATCGGAGACTTCATACTGGTGAACGGCCTTATGAGTGTAGTGAATGTGGGAAAACCTTCAGACAAAGGTCGAATCTGAGGCAGCACCAGAAAGTTCACAAACCAGATAGACCTTATAAATGCAATGAATGTGGCAAAGCCTTCAGCCAAAGGCCCACCCTTATTCGGCATCAGAAAATTCACACTAGAGAAAGAAATGTGCATCCTTCTTGTTCAACACAGCTGCACACAGCAGAGAGAGGCTATGATAGTGGGCTTTATGAAGGTGTGTCAGCCAGATGCTGAACCTCGTTCATCCATGTGGTCACGTTGGGGAGATTCCCTATTATAGCTAGATATGGTGGACATTTTCAGGAGCTAAGCTGTATTTATCTATTTTGTCACTGCTAGAGTTTGGGACAGAAGCCATCTCAACTGTGCCTACTCTGCAGCGTCCAAAGTGAATCAGCTACTCCACCATCCAAGAGAAAGCAGAGTTCTGTTTTCTTTCCAGTTTCTGAAGGGAATCTTGGGTTCCTGAGACCATGGGACGATGTCAGTCCTCCTCATGGCTGGTCTAGCTATCAACATGACCCATCTTTGTCCATGATGACCTAAATAGGGGGTCTGCTGGCACCTTACTGTGAATGTTTCTTTTTCAGGGAAATTAAATTGGTCTAATGTAATGTTTGTGATTTATCCATCCTCCTTGTGACCCACCCAACTACCCACTGTACATTGCTCTGGTTTATGTGATATTAAGGGTGTTAATAACAAGCCTGTCTTTAATCTTCCGTGTTCTGATTACTGTGAGGAGTGAATTGAGAACACTACTAAGGTCTACTAAACTAAAGGGTGGATAGCCCTTCTGTGTACCTCCTAATTGAATGCCTTAGAAGGGGCAATAGAATGGCAGAGAACAACTCTCAGCCCAGATCTGGCCTTATGTGCATTGCTAGCCCAGGTGGGCCCATAATTTGTATAGAAACACACAGTGTCAATATAAGGAGGTTAATGAAGTGTTACCAAATAGAGTTTTCTGAAATGAGTGAATGGTCAGGTGTTTATATGCAACATTTTCTTTTAATGCTTTGTTAAAAATATAATATAAAATACAAATATAACTGATGTGTGATAATTTCCAGTATATATTTGATACACATAATTTGATAAGTTTTGAAATATGTAATACACTCAGGGAACCAACACCATAATCATGATAATGAACATATCCATCACTACAAAAGTCACCTCCTGGCCATTTATAATTCCTCTTTGCCTTCTCAGGAATCCATTAATCACATCCCAGGGAAACCATTGATTTAATTTTTTATTATAGATTTGTTTGCCTTTTCTACAGTTGTATACAGTTATAATCCTATAGTATTTATACTCTTGTGGTCTAATTTCTTCATCCAGCTTAATTTTTTTATAATTATGTTGACTTTCTAAGTTATTTTAGCTATTAACAAGAGAGAATGTTTATATGTGAAAGCATAATTATCTTGAGACTCTGTGCTATGTATATGGTTATTAAAAAAATTTTCTGGTAAAATATAATATAAAATTTACAATGTTAACTATTTACAAGTGTACAGTGTAGTCATATTAAATATGTTCATATTGTTTGCAACTATCACCACCATTCATTTCCAAATCTCTTTTCATTTTGTAAAACTGAAAATATATGCTGATTAAACAATAACTCCACATTCTTTCCCCACCCTTCTCCCTGAAAGCCACCATTCTATTTTCTGTTTGTTTGAATTTGACTACTCTAAGAACCTCATATAAGTGGACTCATAAATATCCATCTTTTTGTGGTAGCTTGTTTCATGCAGTATATAAGTCCTCAAGAATCACCAGTGTTGTTACATGTGTCAGCATTTCCTCTTTTAAAGGCTGAAAAGAATCCCAACTTTATTTCTAAATTAATTCCTAATATTTTATTCCTTTGGATGCTATAAAAATGGAAATGTTACCATAATTTTCTTTTAATGTTGTTTATTGTTGGTGGGTGGCAACAACTCACTTTTTCTGTGTTGAATTTGTATCCTGTTACTTTGGTAAATGTATTAATTTGTTTATTAGTTATAGCAGTCTGTCTCTGTCTCCCTCCCCTCCCCTCTCCCCTGTCCTCTCTAGGGTATTTAGCATTTAGACTTTAATACGTGTAAGAAAATGTTACCTGTGAACAGAACCAATTTTCCTTCCCAATTTGGGTGCTTTTTATTTCTTTTTCTTTCCCAGTTGCTCTGGCTAAAACCTCCAGAACTACATCAAAGTAGAGAAAACCCTTATTTTGTTACTGATTGAAAAGCTTTTAGTCTTTCACCACTGAGTATAATTTTAGCTGTTTTTCATAATTGGTTTTCATCATTCTGAGGTAATTTCCTCTAGTCCCAATTGAGTATTTTTTTAAATGATGAAATGGTGTTGAATTTTATCAAATGCTTTTTCTATACCAAATGAGATGATCGTACAGTTTTTTTCCTCATTCATTCTATGTTGATCAACTTTCCATAGGTTGAACTATCTTTGCATCCCAGGAATGAATCCTCTTTGGTCGTGGTGTATAATCCTTTTAATAAGCTGCTGAATTTGGTTTACTATTTTTTTCATTATTGCCCATAAGGAATTTGGGTGGATGGTTTTCTTGTAGTGTCCTTGTCTGGTGCTGGGTATCAGGGAAGTGTTAACTTCAGAGAATGAGTTAGAAAGTATTCCCTCTTTTTCAATTTTTTAGAAAAGTTTAAGAATAATTGGTGGTCGAGGCCTGGGACTTAGCTCAGTCGTTTCGATGTCTGCCTCACAAATGCAAGGTCCTGAGTTCGATCCCTGGTACCAAAGGAAAAAAAAAAAAAAAGAATATTGGCGTTAAATATTTGGTAGAAATCACCAGTGAAGATGTCGGGTTCAGGGCTTTTGTTTAGGCATGTATAGGGTTTTGATTCACTCTTTTTACTACTACTTTTTGGCCTATTTAGATTTTGTGTTTCTCCGTGATTTGGACTTGGTAGGTTTTCTGTTTCTAGAAATTAGCACATTTCTTCTAGGTTATCCAGCTTGTTAGAATATAATCATTCATAATATTGTCTTATAATTTTTTATTTGAGTAGAATCAATAGTAATGTCTCCATTTTCATTTCTAGTTTTAGTAATTAGACACTTTTTCTTAATCAATGTAGCTGAAATTTTATCAATTAAAAAATCTCTTTGAACATCACATTTTTATTTTTATTTTTGTTTTTCTATTTTCTAGTTATGTGTGCTCTAATCCATTCTTTCCTTCCATTTTCTAGCTTTGAGTTTAGTCCTTCTTCTTTTACTGGTTCCTTAAATTGTAATACTACTTTTTTTTTTGAGACAGGGTCTCCTGATTTAATTCAGGCTGGTCTTGACCTCACTATGTAGTCCAGTCTGGCCTCAAACTTTCAGCGAACCTTCTGCCTCACCCTCCCTAGTGCTGGGATTACAGGCATGTGCCACCATGCCTGGCTAATGCTACACTTTTGATTTGAGATCTTCTTTTTTAATTTAAGCTTTATAGCTATAAATTTCCAAGTAGTGTTGGTTTTGCTGTTTCCTGTATGTTTTGATATGCAATATTTTCACTTTTTTTCATCTCTGAGTATTTTATAACTTCCTTTATGATTTCTTCTTTGATATATTGAATGTTTAAAAATGCATTGATTTCTGTAAATTTGTGGATTTTCCAGCTTTCATTTTGTTCTTGATTTCTAATTTCATACTTTTGTGACTGAGGAAGATAACTTTTTATATCTATCTTTTAAAATTTCTTGAGTCTCTGTGCCATAACATATGGTTTGTCCTGGAGAATATTTCAGGTACACTTGAAAACATTACATATTGTGTTGTTCTTGGGTAGAGTGTTCTGTATATTTCTTTTAGATGCATTGGTTTATTGTATTATTTAACTTTTTTTTTTTTTTTTGAGACACGGTCTTGCTATGTAATTCAGACTGGCCTTGAGCTTACTATGTAGACCAGGCTGGCCTCGAACTCATGGCTGTCTTCCTGCCTCAACCTTCCAAGTGCTGGGATTATAGGCGTGCACCACCACAGCCAGTTTGGTCAACTCTTTTTTTTTTTTTTTTTTGGTACCGGGGATCGAACTTGGGTCCTTGTGCTTGCGTAGCAGGCAGCAGGCGGCGAAACCACTGAGCTAAATCCCTAGCCCAGTCAACTATTTCTTTATTGATCTTCCATCTGGTTGTTATATCTCTTGTTGAGAGGGAGTATTGAAATCTCCAACTATTATTTGAAAACTTTATTTCTTCCTTCAATTCTGTCCATTTGTGTATGGGAGCATTCTACTAGTTACATCCCTAGCCTTTTATTTATTTTTTTAAAAATTGAGACAAGGTCTTATTAAGTTGCCACACAGGACTTGAATTGCAGTCGTGCCTCGGCCCCCCTAAGTGCTGTGTTTACAGGCATGCACCACTGTGCGTGGCTTGCTTCAATATTTTAATAGTCTTTAATTAGGTTTGTATCAGTCCATTTCGTGTTGCTATAATAAAATACCTGAGGCTAGGTGTTCTCTAAAGAAGTTTATTTAATCCACAGTTCTGGGAACTTTAGAGCAAGATTCTGGTATCATGTTGGCTCTGGTTGAGGGCCTTCTGGCTGCATCACAACGTGGCACATGGTATCTAGGTGGATCACATGGAAGAGGGAGCACTCACATGGCAAGACAGGAAATGAGAGTAGAGACTGCTGAACTTCCTTTATAACAACACATTCTGGCAAAAACTAGTCCACTCCATGAGACGAGCATCAATCCCTTCTGAGGTCTGGGCCTCCAATACCTAATCACCTTCCAGTAGATCCTGGTTCTTAAAGGTTCCACAACCTCAGCTCCACCACACTGGTGACCAAGCCTCTAGCTCATGAACTTCTGAGGGACACACATAAACCTCATCCAAACCATAAGAGTGCCTAAATGTTTATAATTGATACATGTTTATGCTGTTGAATTTTTTTCTTAATTTATAATACCATTTTTAACCTAGACCTTTTATTTTTTATTAAAGTCTGTTTTGTTTGATACTTATTATACACCCCTTCTTCTCTTTTGGTTACTGTTTGCACCAAGTATCTTTCTATCTTTTCACTTTCAGCCTATTTGTGTCTTTGGATCTAAAGTGAGTCTCTGTAGACAGCGTGTACTTGGATCAAGTGGGATTTTGTTGGCCCATTCTGCCAATCTCTGTGTTGAAGAGCTTAATCCATTTACATTTATTGTAATTACTGATAAAGAAAGACTTCTGTCATTCTGCTACTTGTTTTTGATGCTTCTTACAGCTTTTTTTGTCCCTTATTTTCTGCACCACTGTCTTCTTTTGTATTTGATTTTTAAATATGAAGCACTTTAATTCTTTTATTTCCTTTAGTGTTTCTTTTTATTCTTCAACTATCTGTCTACCCTGGAAATTACTCTTAATATCTTGAAGTCCTTTAATTTGAATTTATACCTTTTTTTTTTTTTTTTGAGAAAGTACCTCACCATGTAGTAGTTCAGGCTGGTCTTGAACTCACTATATAGTCCAGACTGGCCTGTAATGCACTGAAAT